ACTCATGGCAGCCCAGCTCCAGGTTGAACTGTTGTTCAGCATCTTAGCTGTGGAGGGCAGTGTCACTGGCCCTCATATGTGGGATCCGAACTGGGACCCTCTGGCGTCCCAAGCCAGTTGCTAACCATCGCGCCACTCGCTCGGCCAGCCCTCAGAGTTCGTGCTCTTAACCAACTGAGCCACTCAGCCGGCCCAGCAATTTCTTTACTTTGATTTTGCACAGGTGGAAAAGGAGACTCAGAAAAGGCTACGTAAAGTCAGGCATGTGGATGAGGTCATGTCCTAAAACACCGGCCTGCTTAGGAGCCAGTCCATCTGGTATACAGTCACTACAACTCTTCTAAAAGAACTAGGTCATTCTGAGGACGGAAACGTAATATTTGGGGGCTGTATACAGAAAAGCAGACAAAAAGAAAACCAAAAAAATTGCTCATGTTACTGAGCCCATTTCTTCAGAGAAAATCAGGTTTTTGAAACTCATGAAATTCAGGTTTTATATTAAATAATTTTAGATAGAATAAATTTTATCACAGTATTTTAATCTATTATTCTGACTAAACTAGTATCTGTGTCTTGAGCAAGCACAAAATTGTAACTCTACCCCTTGCTCCCCCCAAAAGATAAAAGGCCATTTTAAGCTTACAAACAATATGTAAATATTGCAGTATATTAGGATATATAGACTTGCAATGCAGAACGACTTTTGACAACACTGGTGGGCCAAGGAAATGTTTAGATCCATAAAAATGAGATTATTAGAATAAGGAACAACTATATCATCAAATAGACATAGTAGATGGTTTTATTTTTCTAACAGAATTTCCAAGACCAGAAATAATGGGATTCCACTAGTTTTATTATGCTGTCTATTTGAAATACACTCTGAATCTTATACATTATTTTGGATTATTCTATTCATAAAAAATATATATATATATACATATATATACACACACACACACAGAAACATACACACACACATATATATATATATAAACAGAAATCAAAATTATTATCCTTCTAAAATTAGCATTAAATGTAATGCCATATATTATCAAAGGATATGTATATGAAATGAACCAAGTTAAACAAAAGTCTTCATTAGCTAATTTACTCAGTCAGTCAATAGCTTGAAACATAAAAGTCCCTCCAGACAACCAGAAGAATTATATCGTTCCACAGTCTTAAGAAAAGAAATACATTTACTATAACTATAAACTTTTATTAGGTACAATAATCTATTTGATTTATAGAGCCACAGAAGAATGGTTTTAATTAGTGTTATTTCCATGAATTTCGCTTAACCATAAACAATAGAAGCTCAATTTTTAAAAATTGTATTCAAGTAAAAGGACAAATTCACATATAGGAAAATAAAAGCCTTAAAAGAAGATGAATGACTTGGGTTTTTCCCCAGGGAAAAAAAAAAGGGTAATTATACATTAGCTGAATCAATAAAATACATTAATACTTTAAAAAGCAAGCAAAAGGGTACTGGTTCAAAACAATAGACTGGATAATAAAGGTCTTTTGCTTTCCAAAGTGGTCTTGAAATGACAGAAGAGTTAGTTTAAACGAGAAAAATTCATAATAGACCTAGAAAACAAGAAATGGGAAAAGCAGCAAACCAGAAAGTTTAAAGAAACCCTGAAAGATTGAGAACAGATCAAGTTGCACATACAGAAAAACCATGGCAGCCCCAGTCAGCAGAGGAAAGAAGGAAACACTTATCAGAAATCAAGAAGAAAACACTAAATTCAGTGTCAACAAATACAAAAAACTAATATCAGGGTAACTAATTCAACCAGAACAGCCGAGATAGACCATTTCTAAGTTCATTAACACAGAGAATAAGGGGCCTGCCACCTGCCACTTCACCCCTCAGGCTAAGAAAGGGAATCGTGTGCCTGTGGTGCATCTTATTGTGGGTGGTAGGTCCCAAGAGAAACAAAGGGGAGCACTAACAGATCCCACTTCAGAGCCCAGAAGGCCGGTGAGGAGGATAGTTATGCCCATGAGCAAAGCACACATGGTGCACAACTGCTCCTGGGCTCTGGAGAGCCCGAGCCTGCCACTGGGCTCCTTGCTTTGGGAGGCACGACGACTGACACAACCCACCTGTGTGCTCACAGGCCACTGTCAATCTTCTCATTCAATGAAATTGCTGAAGCAAGCCCACCAAACTGCTGAGGAAGGCCACTTACAGTAATCAACTTAGTCCTCATAGGCATTAACCAACAACCAAGATCATCAGACATCTGAACAAATCCAGTATCACGGGGGAAAAGAGTAGAACCAAGAATAGAACATTTAACGACTGGCTTTGGAGGAATGAGATAAATCAGGAATCAGAAAATAACTTAAAATGCAAATCAGTGTCTTTAAACATATTCAAAAGAATAGCACATCCTTAAAAGAATAGGCTGCTACGGAAAAAAAAATAAGAAAAATTCTTGGATAATAAAAAACTGACATAAGAAATTTGGTGGCTGGACCGAATAACAGAATGGCCACTGCCAAAGGCCAACCCATTGATGTGGAGAATAACCTCAGAACAAAAAGATAAGGACATGGCGACTAAGAAATAAAACGTTAAGAGACAGGAAGGACAGACTCAGAGGTCTAATATCTCTCTACTAAGAGTTCCAGGAGCAGGGAAGAAAGGCAATAGAAGGAAACAATAATTAAAGAAAAGAATATAAGAAAATCTTACAAAACAAAAGATGAACCATTTCCCATAATTGAGGCTCACTAAGAATTCCTGTGAAATTTCAGAACATCAATAATAAAGAGAAAATCCCCAAAGTTTCCAGAGTTAAGCAAAAAAAATCACCAAAACCTAAAAACCAAAAGCACAAAGGACAAAAGAAAATCAAAGCAGACTTCATACAAAGGAACAGGAACACCAAAATCCCGGCTGCGAGTGTGCGGGAAGCACGAACACGGGCATAGCAGCCCGGCCCGAGCCGAGGGGTCCGCACGCCTCAATGCCGGCTCCCCCAGACCCCGAGGAGCCAGCAGGGAAATGGTAATTACCAGTGAGGGCAAAAGAAACAAACTGTTTAACAAAGAACTTAAAACATTTACCATCCACACGTCCCACATGAAAAATTACTCTAGGCCGTATGCCAGCAAAATGAAAACAAAAACTGTATGAAAAAAAGAAAGATGAGATTTAAAAACAACTTGATGTTAAAGTGTAGAGGAAGCAAATAATGTTTTAAGAAAAAATTGATAAAGATATTCTAAGATGTTTCACTGCCAACTGCAAGAGTAGTACTTTGTGAAAAGAAGGCCAACTTTACCAAAAGCCGTGTTTCTTAACTCAAAAGCCCACGAGGAGAGGGAAAGGGGACGGCATCACTTCCCTCCTTCAGGAATGCAGGTGCCAGGTCCCATGTCCCCAGGGCCTTCTCGTGAACCACCCCACCTTGTTTGTGAGCCTCCACAGAGCAGTGAAAACTTTCTCATTTCCTTGCTCTCTCATCCATTACAATGTTAAATAACATAGTTCTACAAAGCTTGGAGGTCTTCTATTTCTGGTATAAAAATATCCACTGAAGATCGCATAACACAAGAGAAATGAATTCTGAAATTCTCTCCTTTTATTACATATAAACATATGGAAAGACATAAATCATGTTCATTTAAAGAACTGTGTCACCATTTCCGTTCCTACTCCTCTATTTCAAGCCACCATCATCTATTACCTGGACAATCTCAATACCCTGTCACCGGGTTCACAGCTTCTACTCTGGTTCATTCTAGTCCATACTCTATGCAGCAGGCAGAGTAATAACCCAAAATAAAAATCACATTGCCCCATGCTCACAACCTTCCAAAGGCTTTCCATCATACTTAACTGAAAATCTGCAGTTTTTATTACCGTCTCGGAGGCCCTAAGTGATCTGGGCCCAAACCAGCATTATTCCCCTCACACCCTCCACTGGAGGTGCTCGTGCTGCTGACTCACTCCCCGTGGCCCCACTGCCCAGAAAACTCTTTCCTAAGATGTTCACAGGACCTGCTCTGGTATCTAGTCAGACTGGCCTACTCTGGCCTACGAATACAGAATCTTCTCTGCTTTATTTATTTATTCTTTAACCTCTGGCCCTCATTTAGTTTTCTTAAAAGCATTCAACACTTCTAACACTATAAGTCTTACTTGTTCATTTGTTAACTGTCTCCCCTCAGACGTAGCTCCTAGAAGGCAGTGTGACCGTCTGGTTCAAACCTCTATCCCACTCCCCACAACAACGCCTGGTATGTAGCAGGTGCTTCATAAATATTGATTGAATGAATGCTAAATACCTATTGATTCTTTAGCCAAATAAACTATAAGTAGGAAAACAGGAAATAAACACACGCTCCCTCTAACTGACATAGGAGGCCTGCAAAATCACTTGCAGTTCTTTTGAACCTGACTTTAATGATTTGTCAGTATGCTGTCCTTTGAAAGTGAGGTTGCTGTTTATGCCAACTGAGCCCCAGAAGCCTGTAACGCTTTGGGTAGAACAAGCTCCCTTTCCTAAACTGCTGCCGCCAAGCTGATCTCCCCAGATCTGCTTCTAGTTCCCAGAAGTCGCTGCAGTGACGGCCCTGCTCCGGTGAGTTCCCTCGGCAGAGTGTTCAGTGGTCACAAACCACAGTTCACCTCCTATCATTCACTCTTCACTTCTGTTCAGCTTGGCAGAGCGGCTATAATGCTGGGAGGTAAAATGGATAGGCCCTACAGGATTTCAAGGTTGGAATCCTATAATCTTATGTTTGAGATGGCCAGGTGTGACGGTGTAAGCGGACACGTTTCAAATTTCAAGATGAAATGAGCTCTTGGAGGGCCTCCAGAGCAGACAGCGCGCCTGTTTCCCCCGCTCCTGGCACCGGGGTGGCTTACAGTGGACGGTCACTCAGTGACTACGTGAGTATTAATTAAACAAGGCAACTAAATCACCTCAAAGCTGATGTAATACTACTAAAGGACTGTAATAATAAGAAATGATCAAAACCCAGGACAAGGTTAGATATAAAAATAATGTGACCAGGAAACTTAAAAGAAACTAAATCAATAAATGACGCAAACGCCTTGATGATATAATAAAAGAAGTAAAACTTCTACATACGCTGGACAATTCAAGACATTTTCTGAATTACTCTCAAATATGGCCCACAAACAAAAAACATGATGAGCTTTCTGACAAAAGCCATCTTTAACTTACAGGCGTTGAAATCTTCTTTGCAGTTTCCGTGATTACTTGTTCTAGGGGTTTCCAGATGTGAAACGCATAGCGACCTAAATAGTAACAGGAATAGAAGCAAATATCTTTTATACAATCAAAGCCAATACCCACAAGGTGCATATCACAGTATTTACTGATAGTATTTTTATATATGTTATTTCAATAACTATTTCAAAATTTACCAGAAAGTCATATTTTTCAAATTTCTAATTTATTGAATATCATCATCATAGCTATTAAATTTATTAAGTTCTAGTTCATAATTATCAAGTTAAAAAATTCAATGGTATATATAGTATTTACAGTGACGCAATGTTATAGCTCACACACACACAAAAACCCTAGTACTCTTTCCACAATAAACTGTAGATGAAGGCCTTTAACATAAACGGATCTAAAATGATTATTTGTATTGCTTTTCAAAGTGACAGTCACTTTGAAACATATAGAAAACAAATACTGTTTATGATCTATATAACATAGGAGTGATTTTAATGGAGTTAGCTCTAAAGTAAAAAAGCAATTATACGGGAAATATTTACCAAGGAAGTTTATTATCAGTTTCTCACTGAGGATGGCTACTCTCCTAAAAAATTATTTTATTTTAGTGCTTTCCTTTCTTAGGTATTCTAATAATAAAAATTCCCCCAAGTCCTGACAACTAAGAATCAATAGAAAAACAGGTCCTAAATTGCTTTGAAGGCATAGGAACAAGAATAAGTATTATCTGGCTAATTTACCTTTTGTGCTCTAATCAGGATGTGTGTCTACTAATGCTAATGTCTTTTTCCCACAAGCCTTGCTAGAAAACCAGTTATGACACTCTGGACTTCAATTTCTAACCATAACCTTATTTCAGGCAAATCAAGGTTTCCAATGGGAAAGATCACTACACAGCTCTTTCAGAAGGAGTTGCCTGTCTAAATACACTATTATTCCTGTGCAAACATGTTTCAGTGAAAAACAGGATGCTGGAAATGGGAAGATGTCAAGTAGCCAATTAGGAGATAAAAAGCTCTTGAGGTCAAGAACATTAAATAAAGTGAAAGTGAGGCTAAAACCCTAACTCATCGAAATCTCTTATCAGAGAGATGTCAACTTCCGTTTGATTCTACAATATAGTTTTTAAATTACTTCAAAATTCCTTCAAAACCACACACAATCAGGCACTGGATGAAAAAAGCAATTAAAGCCTTCAGGAAGTGTCATCTAGAAGTTCATGTTAACCACACATCAGCTACTTAGCTCCAACAAGTCTAAGTGGACTTTCTCCTACATTCTGCTGTTCAGTTGCATTTGGCTCTCGAAGAGGTCAGCCTGTTGTTGAATATTCTAGTTAGTAATAAGAATTTGGCGGCAGTATGGTATGTACAGAATACAAACACCAATTCTTCTCATTTTAGAAAGATCCCGGCAAGAGTACATCTTGCTCTAATTTCAAACAAAAATCTTACATTTGAGTTTGAAACAATTATGCCTATTCTGGTATAATAATTAATATAGTTTTGTGGTGATGGGGCAAGTTTGTCAGAATTCTGACTCAGTGCTGATCTTCTTCTCATGAAACCTCCGTAACCAGTGAACTGCAGTTTATATAATGAGACAAGAGCTTCATGGCACAAACCAAGAGAATCTGAACCACTGATCTTGACTTTAAAGTTCTCATTGAAGGTATTCAAACAAGAGCGGTAGGAAATTAAAGACTACGCCAAACAATAGAAAAGTCTTTTTTTGCTCATTTTTCTATTGGATCTTACTAAACTCCATATAACCACAATGGAATGTGACTGCATCTAAAAAGAAGACCCAATTAACAAAAGCAAAGCCATGGAACATAAAGATGCAAATACTAAAACAAAACAAACAAAAAATGTAAATCTTTATCAACAAGGAAATGCTCTCAGATTAACATTAATAAGGGAATAGTATGCAATTTAAAACTCTAAGTTAATGACTCAATAAGTTGAAGAGAGAGCAATTTTGCTTTAAAACTTTATAACTACTCTTTCTAAGTAGATAATTTTGGCAGTTTATCAAAGACATCACACCAATGTTAAAAATGAAGTAATAAATGCACTACAGGAAACACATATGCTCATCAGAGAGAACTGACAGCTCAGGAAGTGTGTAATCCTATCTGCAAGAAAAAATAAATATGGGAGAAAAAGGAAACCGCTAATCAATTATACCACTTCATATTAAAGATTTTTTATTTGTAGCACATTATAGCTCAAACTAAAATATGGAAGATCCACTATTAAGGGGTTGGTTTTCCTAGCTTTTGTATCGTTACTTTTCTTCATCACAAAGTTTATCCAGATTTTTGCTACACTGACAAATATTCAGTGACTGACTGGTAGAAATAATGAGAATGTATGTCTAAAACCCAAAAACCTCAGAATACTGACAGTCTGCTTCTGAATCACCATAGGAACGATTTGGAAATATTTCTTCTGCAACATTTATTGATTTGTTTCCTTTATTTATCTTACCTGCAAATGCAAAAGCTGCAACACCCAGTCCTACAGCTATCAAGCTTCTTGCCTAAGGAGGAAACAAATGATTACCACTTACAGTGTCACACAACTGGGTTTTCAATCATTTTTAATAATGTGAATAATTATGTTAAATGCTACATTTTCTTCAAGCTCTGCTGTGAATAGAACTTCAGTGTCTATGGGATTATATCTGCTGTGCACTAATTTTCGGTGAACTAAAATAATTCTAGGTTTTCATTTAATTTCCATATATTTGAATTCATTCTAACCAAGAGCTTTTATATCACCTCCTGCTAAAATGTTTTCTATAGACTATTCTTAATCTTAATATGTATCTTCTCTAAAGATAAAAGGCACATGTTTCCTCCTCCATTACACTTACAATACTCAATGGCATGTGCTATAGGCAAAAATTCAGTAGAACATCAGATGCCTGCTTAGTAAATAAGTCAAAAACTATTCAAAATGATCAATAATATAAAAGCTAATTTATTTCTACCTTTCTAGAACAATGTAAACATTTTAAAAGAAGCAAGAATTCAGAATCTAGAGTTATGAGTTCATTCCGATAAAAATCTACTTTAAATTGCTATGTACTCCATATTATTCTATGCTTTTCTTCTTAACCATTTCAGGAAAATATGTAAGTCACAACAGAAAAAGGTTTGTGCAGCAGAGATCAATGGTTGCCCCCCAATATTTATTCTTTCTACTATGGGATCAGGAATTCCCATTTTTAGCCAGACACGTACGTATCTGCAAGCTTCCCTTAGACTTAGACATGGCTCCATTAACTGCATCGGGTTATAGGATATAAGCAGAGTGGTGGGTACAACTTCTGAGAAGTCCTTCAGGGGCTTGGAGGCAGAGCCTTCCCCTCTTCCGTCCCCCCTTCCGGCTGGCTAGGCTGCAGACACGGTACCTGGGGCGGCCATCTTGCACAAAGAGGACTAGTGAGATGACGGGAGGCTGCATCCTGCATGACCCTGCAGCTGCCACACAACCCTGGGCTGCCTCCGTCTACATGAGGTAAGAAGAACATTCCACCTTCCTAAGCCACCATTATTTTCGGTCTTCAGGCACTTGCAGCCAAATCGATTTTTGATGGATACAGAATTAAAGAGAGACACCATAGAAATGCTTTTGTCTGATTAGCTGTGTGAGAGGTAACTGTATAAGATCCAGCAAAAATATTTTTAAAGCTAGAATAAGCTCGCTAGGGAACAGGATGGGTTCCTTTCACATTGTTGCAGAAGTTGTCAGACGAAGGGCTGAGACTGAAGGAAGTGCTACATCCACAAAGCCCCTTCAGCCATCAGTCTTCAAGTTCCCCAAGGAGGAGCAAGTCAAAGGAAGTGGAGCCCCAAATCTCCAAGGGGAAGGCTCTCACGAGGACAATCAGGTCACAAAGGACAGGTGTGCAGGTCTCTAAGTTTAACACCCAGTAAGGAGGTGAGTACTGACTTAAGGATGTTCTGTTCAGGTACATTTTTGCCACTTTCTAGAGCTTCTCTGTGCCATGTTCTGAGTTTCCAGTCTTACCTTCCACTGGTTCACTTTAAGTACCCTCAGTCTAACCAAGCTATTCAACTGATTCGTGTGAATTCATTTCCCTTCCCTACAAACTTGTTTATTTCTTCCTGTGACTAGAAATCTTTATCTTTGCCTACCCAGATCTCACCTACTTTTAATATTTCAGCTTGAATCTGCCACAGAATGGGAGAAGTCATCTGCAATACATAACAATGAGCACCCTAAAGTATACAGAATTCCTAAACATTAATAAGACAACAGACTACCCAATTAAAAAAATAAAAAAAGAGCAGACTAGGTCAGGAAATTCATAGAAAAAAAAAGTCTAAATAGCTAATAAACACATGAAAAGGCACTCAACTTCAAAAGTAACTAGGAAGCACTAACAACAACAAAAACGAAATGGTGTAGAAACATTCCTATCAGAATCTAAAGGCCTCTGGCCTGCATGGAACTTGCTGTGTCCACTGATACATCTCAAGCCCCAAACCACAGGACCTGCACTTTCCAGGGTTACTGAGAGGGTAAAAAGTAATAATGTTTATAAAGGACTTAGCACAACAGCTGGACACATGGTAAAAACAAGCTATGAACTGCTTTTAATACTATCAACAAAAATAACTAGCTATTATTGAATATAGGTGGCATAACAGAAGTATAAACAATGTTTTATAACCTTTACATTTGTTGAAGAAAATTCACGTAAGTGGTTTTTGAGGTCGGCCCTAGAAAATGAATTGGTCTTCTCTAGATTAAATAATCCAAATTTCCACAGTTTGAAAAATGCATATTTCAAAAATAGTCTTGAAAAAATGACTTATTTCACACTTTTATAGATGAATAATTACTGCACTTTCACTATTTCAACTATTCAAAATACAAGAGACAAACAGTTGCCTATACAATTTCAAAGAGATTTTTATTTTAAGATATTTCTATCAGAAACATTAAACCATGAGGCATTTGCTCATTTTGCATTTTAATCGAACAATTCAAGACTAACCTGAGTTTAACAATAAAAATTCCATTTAAATCAGCAAATAAGTGTTCAGCACTGTCCTGATTATTCTCTGTTTGTCCCTCCAGATCCATTCTCACCCTTCTTTGTCTTGCTGGGCACCTCTGCCTCCCCTTATCTCTAGGGATTACATTAACGGGTCATCACTTGCCCTCTAGTTTCTGGTTGTGTTTTGCCAACCAGAGGAAGTGTCAGCAGAGCACCATGCTCGGGTTACCAATCCGAAGGGAGGACTCCAAACACTCCTGCCCATTGCATCTTGGTATCAAAGTTGCCAAGGAAAACACAGTCACTTACTGGCCAGAACACGCTTTACTCACACAAAGACACAGTAAGATCAGCTCCAATTGTGTGCATGGGTCCCTTAGAGCTAGTGAGTGCCCCCAGCAGCCCACAAAGGGGAACCCTCCCAGGAGCGTGTTCTTGTGCTGCAGCAGAAACACCCCACTGCCTCCCCACCCCACCCTGTAATCCTAAATGCTGAAAGCTGCAGGCATGCCTGCAGGCCCCTGGCTATACCTTAAGCAGAACAAGAACCACTGGGAGAGCCTGAAACAGGGAAATACCCCACAAAGGTGGTAAGCCCAGCAGTCTGCGTGGGCTCCTTAGCTCTTGGAACAGAAGTGTTGAAGCCCAAGGTGAAAGGGCAGAGCAGGGTCAAATGACGGTGCATGAGTCTGCCTTTCCCAAGGAAACTTAAGCAGAAACGTGCAGGGCGGAAGGAGACAGACATAATGGTGCGATTTAGTCCCTGCGGTGCTTCCTCCTTGGCCACAGCACCTGTTTGGTGGCTCCTCCCCCACGCTTCCAACTCGGAGTCCGGCCCATAATTCCCATCCCCTTCCCCTCCGTCTGGGGGGATAAACAGTTTCCAACGGTCGCTAGTCCCCGAGGGTCATCATCCCTTTTTGCCCACACCTCTGCAAATAGTCCCTTCATTAAACTATCTTGAAAAAAGCCATCCGTCTGTCACTCCCAGGACAGGACCTCACTAACAGGAGCATCACTACGGACCACGGACCAGTCACCACACTGCACAAGAGACGCAACAGCACAGAGCGAGGCAGAGGCTTAACCAGATGGGCTCTGTGTAGCCTTGACCACTATGGGCGTCCGATGTTTAGGCTGGTCTCCAAATACCTTTATTTTATCCTTATTACAACATTTATGGCACCAAATCATAGTTTAGTGTTCTGTCTCCTTTAGCTTTTCTAGATACCAAGAGCCTTTTAAAAATATGATGAAATCTATACACCATTACCCTAGAAAACCACAAATAAACATATACACCACAATTTTTTTGTATATAATTTGAGGGGATTCATGGGTTGTCCTGAAGCCCTTGAGCCCACAATTCCCAATATAAGAACCGCTGAAATAAACAAATAAATAAACAAGCTCAATGAACTCTAAGAGAGTATCTCATTGAACTCCTGGAGTCCATCAGAAAACCTACCATGTATATTTCATTTTTTATTCATTGAACAATATAACACGAAAAATGTTGATTCCAGAACTAATCTCAATTTCTAAAGACTTAACTTTATACAAAGATAAAAGATAAACACATAGGGCCTTGGAACTTTTAAAAACAACAAAAACAAACCCAAATTAGGTGGCTCACTGGAGCAAAAAAGGGTGTTTAGTAAATGACCAAAAACTACGCAATCAAATCTTACTTATCCACACTGAAAAGACAAATTATAGCACAACTAATCAAAAACTCATTTCTTTACTGGAATTAAAATTCCTTACTGAAAGGGGTTTGTACCTGATTTACCTCTTTAATTATGTTTTTAATTAATTTGATATTAAAATTAGTTTATATTTTTTCAACACAATTTATAACAAAAACATATTTCAAAGTTGAACCCAACTTGAAATTTTTAAAAAATATCATGTTCTACACAACCAGATTTTGTACTCTGAAAAAATAAAGGTCCTTCTCATAAAGTTTTCTATAGAAATACTAAAGCTGTTAGATATAACAATTGTTAAAACTTTAACCTTAACTGGTCCGGAATAAGAATATGATGTTTCTTAGAAAGAAAAAAATGTCTACTACCTTTTTTCATTCACTAAAAAGTCATTGGTTTGTGTTTTTAGTTTTTTAGATGCAAATATAGAGAGTTCTAAAACAAGTTTCCCCAACCCTCCCCACCTGTGAATGACCCAAAAAGAAAACAAAAAAATCTACTTGCAAATATAGAGAAGACGCAGTACAAGACAGTCGATCTAAGATCCAAGCAAGTAATTCACACAGACCTCTTGACCATATCTTTATCTGAATATAATTTTTAAAAGTAAAATAACATCTATCACATGCTGGGGCTGTAAACAGCCCACGGTTCATGTGGCAGAACTGTGTAAATAGAGAATAACATCAACATCTTCTCTATTTTATTTCTGTTGAAAAAAATTTCACACATGCCTTATCACTGTGCTATTTCACATTTACTTAAACTTCAGTATTGTATCCTCAGGCTAACAGACCT